CCCCAAAACCCCAAAACCCCAAAACCCCAAAACCCCAAAACCCCTTTTCTTCTACTCGTTTTGACTTGGATAATAAAGTTATTTTATTAAGATACAAATGGCAAAAACTAGTGTTGTTGTTATACAATCTTGCTTCATGATATTCATCTTCACCCTGACTTTCGTGTCAGGCCTCCTCCCCATCCTGCTTCCTTGGTTCAAGAACCATAAGATACTTCGTTGCATCGCAAATGCCTTCAGTGGTGGAGTTTTCCTCTCACTGGCTATCATGCATATGCTTCCTGAAACTTCTGAAAAATATGACGAATGGAAGAGTGAAGATGAACATGAAGATGAACACGAAGATGAACATGAGGAAGAAGAACATGACCATGACCACTCTTTCTCTCTTCCTTTTACTCTTGTATTTGTAGGATATGCCTTCATCCTTTTCATCGACAAGGTATTATTCGATACGCATCACCTTCATGGGGAAGGATCCCATCATCAAGGAGTGTCAAAGCCCCAAGATTCATCTGCAGAATCCATGAAAAAGGATTCTCCTGACAATGTCTATGACAGTAATATGCATCCGGTCAATGTTTCTGAAGAGCAAGAGGCTTCTGGAAGGAACCAAGTCTTCGCTCAGAAAATTTGCGGTATCTTAAAAGAAGATTCTAAAAATGCTGAAGCTGAAAAGTCGATTGTATCCAAACACGATGACAAAGAAATGCAAGATGCTAAGCCAACTGAAGCCAAGATCAACCATCAAGAGCCTAGACCCACTGATGCTAAGCTCAATAAGATGAACCTCTTCAGCCTTGCCGCTATTACTCTAATGATTGGTCTTAGTGCTCATTCAGTTTTTGAAGGAATTGTTGTTGGACTTGAAGAAGAAACAAGAGAAGTCTGGTCATTAGTTCTAGCCATCTCATCACATAAGTGGGCAGCTGCTATGTCATTAGGCATCAACCTTCACAACCATCTTGGCAACCAGAATGCTCTCATCGCTGTGTTGCTAGCTATCTTCTCCCTTTCTACTCCACTTGGAGTTGGAATCGGCATGATAGTATCTGGCGAGTCTGATCTTACTGAAGTTATTTTCAACGCCCTTGCTGCTGGTACCTTCATCTACGTCGCCTGCTCCGAAATCATCAGCGAAGAATTTGGGAATCCCAAGTACAAGTGGTACAAGATGGGATTCTTCATCGTCGGAGCTGGATTCATCCTTGGTATCAATCAGATAGATTTTTAACCAATAGTTATTTTGCCTGTCTTTCTTTTTACATTGTACGGGCTTTCTATGCTAATAGATTGGATAGGGGTTTTGGGGTTTTGGGGTTTTGGGGTTTTGGGGTTTTGGGGTTTTGGGG